TATGGCTCACATTATATATCTATTGGACACAGCTGCTCTAGAGGCTTGATTAGAGTCCAAACCAGTGTTGTTCAGTTTGGTAGGCACATGTAGCTATTTATACTTTAAGTAATTAAAGTTAAATAAAATTAGAAATTCAGTTTCTCAGTCACACTACCCACATTTCAAATGCACAAGAGCCATCTGTGGCTAATGACTACCTTATTAAACAGCACTGTTCTAGAGCAGGGGTTGGTGAATTATAGTCCATGAGTTAAAAATGGCTTTACCTTTTTAAGTAGTTGGGGAGAAAAATCACAAAAGAGTATTGCATGACATGTGAAGATTAAATAAAATTAGATTTCAGTGTCCATAAATAAAGTTTTATTGGAACACAGTCACACTCTTGGTTTATATTCTGTCTGGCTGCTTTCATACTATCACAGCAGAGTAAGAATAGTTGTGGCAGAGACCACATAGCTCACAAAGCTACAGAAAAAGTTTGCCTACCTCCGTCCTAGATCATTCACTTCTAAGTGAGAGTCATTTACTTTGCTGCAGAGCTGACCTCCTATTTATATACAGTTCTTTAAGTACTCATGTAGTACCTACACTCAGTTGACTATTCTTTTTTAATTCTCAAAAAAATACATACTATTTTAAAGACTTATGCACTAAAGATGTATTTAAAATACACTGTTTTGTTTTTCTCTGCCCCATATGATCTACAGGAAAAAAACAGCCTTTTTGTTTTTTTCTCTCCTGAGATGAGGTCTCACTATGGCCCAGGCCGGTCTTAAACTCCTAGGCTAGAGCAATCCTCCCACCTCAGCCTCCCAAGTAGCTGGGACTATAGGCATGCGCTGCCACAGCCAGCTTTACACTGTTTTTATTTAACAAAATAAAACAATATATTAATTTAAGTAGCTCTATATCATCACAAAATTGCTAGTTCTGTTAAATTAATAACCCCTGGTTATTATGAGCAGAATATTCAGGCTAATACTAGAAAAGGCATATAGTAGGGGAAAGGATATTGCTATAGAGATATCATTAGGCATTCAGCCAGAACTGCTTATTCTATTTCTTTTAGCCAAAGAAATTGTGGTTCATTGTCTAGAATGATCACTATAAATTTTTCAGATACATGGAAATAAAGTCATCTACTAACTCAGTCATAGGTTCTGGAATTCTAAAATCATGCAAAAAATATAATTTACATAAAACATAATAACAGTGCTGTCCCTTTTTTTTCCCCTACAAAGCTAAGCATTCTTTACTGACATATCACATATCATTATCACCGCAACAACCTTAGAAAATATTAAGGGCAAGGCTTCTTTAAAAGACAGTCAAATTAAAAATGTGTCTACCCTGAAATCTTGTCTCAGTTTAAGAATGTTAATGGCACAGGGTAAGTCTAAAATGACTTCTAGTCTTTTACTCAACTATAAGGCAAATACATTTGAATGGAAATATACATACTGGCCAGATGGGTGAGAGTAACATTTTTTCTGTGTAAAGTGTATTCAGGACTTAATTACTTTGATAGTAGATATCATTACATGGTATGTTATTTAACTGTTTGCAATCAACTATTTGGAGAAAGATACAGTTAAATTGTTTTCCTCCAATATCAGCAACTAAGGTTATAATAGGAAACTTTTAGAAAAAGTTGGTCTGTTTCTACTATGCCTTTTTGTTTAAATCTTTCTGTTTGTTCTCCCCCCTCCTCCCCCCACCAAAAGACCTCCACAGATTTCTAGCACATATCATAAGAAGACTGTGTACACATTAGCCTGGGGGCCACCAGTACCCCCTATGTCACTTGGTAAGT